TATTAGTTGTATCAAAGTCAATTCCCTCGATACTTCCCCCCCCTTGAGTTGGTGAACCGGGGAAGTCATAGCCGCTGGGTGGTAATCTCGATCGGAGCTGGTCTATGTGGCGTTTCCACAGCCTCCCATCGTCTGTTAGCAGGCGGTAAGATCTAGGTCCGGTGAGGTGGGTAACGGTTGCGGGTATCCATAACGGGTCGCCGGAAAAGTTTTTGGCAAAGATTAAATCGCCTACCTTAAATTCCCGGCATTTGCTGCTAGAGCCGAAAGGTTTTTCCGGTGCGAAAGCGGGGTGGAGCCGGTCAAGGTGCGATCGTATTTTCCGCCCCATAAGAAGTTCAGCGGGTGTTTTGTTGGTCACACTGTGGGGCGTGATGTGCTGCAATAAGAGAATTCGATTGATTTTCTCGTCGATGTTGCCAAATTCCATTTTGTGAAGGGTCTTTTTTACAAATTGTACCATGCGTTCTGCACGTCCATTCGCCGCAGGGTGCGCGGGCGAGGTTAGCGCATGGCGGATGCCCCGATCGGCAAGATATTGTTCAAAGGGCAATGCAGTGAACTGTGGGCCGTTGTCCAAGACCAACACGTCCGGAAACCCGTGTGTGGCAAATAGTCTGTTTAATTTATTAATAACTGAGTCTGTTGTAGTTGTGTGCATTCGATGAATCTCGAGCCAGTTAGAATAGGCGTCGACAGTAATCAGGAAAGTGTGACCTTTGGTAGGCCCCGCAAAGTCAATATGAATACGGGACCACGGTCCCCTCGGCATTTCCCATTCGGTTGGGCTTGCTTTAGGTGGGGCGTTGCTGACGTCCTGGCAACGTTGGCACGTAGCGACCCAGGCCTCGATTCTTTTGTCGATTCCCGGCCACCAAGCATAGCTGCGTGCGAGTGATTTCATCCGCACAATACCCGGATGTCCCTCATGCAATACCGCCAAAACAGTCTGTTGCAATTTGCCAGGGATTACGACTCGATCGCCCCACAAGATACAGCCTTTTTGGGAAAACAGCTCGGTTTGGCGGGCTTTGAAGGGCGCCCATTCAGGTGCTATTTGGTCCGTCGGCCACCCCCGTTCAACCCAGCGTAGTATGTGTTGCAGAACTGGGTCACGTTTCGTTTCAAAAGCAATGTCTCTAGCCATCAAGGGTGGTGCATGTAGAGCTTCGATCTGTAGTGTTGAGAGGGTTGGGGCTGGATCCACAACAGCGTCTGGGAGCGGTGTTCTGCTCAATGCATCGGCGTGGAGAATCGATTTCCCCGGGTGGTGTTGCAAGGTGTAGTTGTAGGCCGCCAGGAATTCAGACCAACGGGTCATTCTGGGGGACAATATATACGGGGTTGGTTTATTACCCGCAATGATCCCCAGTAGCGGTTTATGTTCAGTGATTATTGTAAACGCACGGCCATAAACATATTCATGAAATCTTTTAACTGCAGCAACAATAGCTAAAGCTTCTTTGTCCAGCTGACTATAATTTCGTTCAGCTTTAGCTAAGGTTCGCGAAAAAAACGCGATGGGGGCCTCCGCTCCGTTTGGTAACACGTGGGCCAGAATTGCCCCAACCCCAAAAGGTGATGCATCACACGTGATAGTGAGCGGCAGAGTCTCGTTGTACTGCATAAGTACTGAATCAGAAGTTAGCAATTTCTTTACTTGTTGGAAAGCATGTTGTTCCCGTTGCCCCCAAACCCACGTTGCTTTTTTGTCTAATAGTCTATGCAATGGTTCAGCTACTGTTGCTTTGTGGGGTAAAAACACATTATAGAAATTGATAAGTCCAAGGAACGCCTGTAGGTCTGCCTTGTTCCTTGGAGTGGGTGCCTTTTTAATTGCTCGTAATTTGTCTTCGGTGGGATGAATTCCTTGGCTGTCCAGGAGATATCCCAAAAATTCTACTTTTTCGGTACATAACTGGCATTTATCTTTTTTTACTCTGAGGCCTGCATTTTGGAATCTTCGTAAAACCTCTCTGAGTCGTTTTTCTAGGATGTCTTTGTTAGGTGCGGCGATGAGTACATCGTCGAAATATGGGACAACGCCTTTTATCCCTTGTAACAACCTTTCCATTAAACTCTGGAAGATTCCAGGGGCGACGCTTACCCCGAATTGGAGCCGGTTGCATTTAAATGCGCCCCTATGTGTTACGATCGTTTGCGCCTCGGCTGTGGTTGGGTCTACAGGCAATTGTTGATACGCCTGGGCTAGATCTAGTTTGGCGAAAACTTTCCCACCGCCCAGGGAATGGAGTAAATGTTGCACTACCGGTACTGGATAAGCACTTTGCTGCAGTGCGTGGTTTAATGTGGCCCGGTAGTCTCCGCAAATTCTTAGGGACCCATCAGGCTTGATAGGCGTCACTATCGGGGTTTCCCAACGGGCGTGGTCGGTGGGTTCCAGTACGCCCTGCGCTATTAGTTTATCGAGTTGTTCGTCGATTTTAGGCTTCAAGGCGAACGGCACCCGACACAGCTTAAGGCGGATGGGTGCTATCTCAGGGTTCAAGTTAAACGAGATTGGGGTCCCCTTATACGTGCCTAGTCCGTTCACGAAAACGTCTTGGAATTCTTGCACGAGTGCTTCCTCCCAATCGACGCTCTCGGCCTTGTGGACTCCGGCTACAGTGATCCCGAGCGGCCTGAACCATTGAAGGCCTAGAAGACTAGGCCTGTCACGATCCACGACCGTTAGTGGTAGTGCAACGGAGCGGTCTTTGAATGAGACCTGGAATTTGCGGGACCCGACAACGGGAATTCTGTTACCCTGATAGTCTTTGAGTATAACCCTTTGAGGGTTAAGGTCTTGGCGGCGGATCGTGGGAATGAGCTGTTGGAGCGTTTTCCACGATACCATCGAGAGGGAAGATCCCGAGTCTACCTCCATCATGCAAGGTTTATTTTCGATGGTGACCTTTACTCGGATTTTCCCGGCATCAAGGGATGTAGCGTGGCCTATGGTGATTGTTTGGTGGGTCTCTTCCCGCCGGGTTTCTTCACGCCTGGTGGAAGTGGTGGACGGTTTGTTTCTGTAGGAGTGGTTCAATTTTTCTCGGTGTGTGCCGAAGAATCCTGAAGATTGGCATTCGGCCTGTCGGGGTTTGGAGTTTTGTTTGCTTCTGCAAACCTTTGCGATGTGACCTCGTCTCCCGCAATTTCGGCAGAGCGCGTCGAGGAATTTGCAGCCGGATCGTGGGTGATTGGCTCCACAGCTGGCACACGGTCGCAATGAGTGTTGTGTGGACTGGTCTCTCTCCGTTCGAAGTCGGTTGACCTCTTCCTCATCGCTGTCGGACGGGGACTCTAGGTCTTCGTGGTGAGTTGATACCGGGTGTCTCTCCGAGCGAGGCGAAGTATCAGTGGCGAGTTTACGTAGCGGTGCGTTGGTGCGGCGCATTCGGGCTGCCGACTTCTTGGTCGCCTCTGCTGCCGAGGCTTCTTTAAGGGCATCGGTGAGACTGATGTCCCCCTTAGCCATAATTTTACTCTGGATCGTGCCGTCTTCTAGGCCCAGAACCAAACGGTCCCAGAGAGCTTCTTCTAAGTCTGCGAATCCGCAGAGGCCTCCAAGGTTTCGGAGGTCCGCGATATAATCAGCAAGGCTTTCACCTTTCTGTTGGTCCCTCCGGTAATATTCGTGTCTTCGGACTAAGGTTGGCACGGTGGGCGCGTAGTGAGCCCGTAGTAAAGGCTCGAGGACGTCCCAGTCCATCTCTTTTACCTCTGCTGGCTTGGCAAGTGACTTTGCCATTTTAAACACGGTAGGGCCGCAGTGGGTTAGAAATATAGCTCTTTTTTTTCCGGCTGTTGCATTTTTCAAATTGTTGGTCTCCAGAAACATCTGGAACCTATCCATGTACGACTCCCAGTCTTCGGTTTCTGGGTCGAATGGAGCGGGTGGTACGACACCGCTGGCCATGTTGCCGTTGATGGTGCGTGTTCAACCACGTGCTCTGTTATTTGCTCTGTAGATTAGTCAGCTCTTCGGTCTCCGAATCCCACCTTTGTCGCCAGTGTTAAGTATGGAGAATAACGGAGACCAGACATCTGACCAGTGACTTCAACTCTTTAATAAAGTAATAGAACATAACAGAGCAACGCTATGGGCAGCAGTAACCCTTTTATAGGGTTAGCTGCTGCCTTATTAACCAATGAAAATGTGCAACAAGTTCAAACTACTAACCAATAAGAAAAATCCCCAAAGTGGCCAATCAGGGACTAGTTCTGGCCCAATCCCAAGTTGTTGTATAAGGACCAATCAAGTGTGCAGGTTTTCAACCCCTAATTTGCATTTAGGTTATTCACTTTTATTGATTCACAACAGCATTCTTTCCCTTCCCAGTACCACTGAACTGGGTAGATTAAAGCTAATTTATGTGAAACTGTATTTAGTAGTCCCAGGGATATGAACTTGTTTTTATCACTGTATGCACCTGCAACCCTTTCTATTATAAATGAGCACCTGCATGCATCTATTCAGCAATCTATTCTCTTCCCTCTTTCTCACTTTCTACTCCTTTATTGCCCACTCCACCGCCTTCTTCTGCCTTCCCTAGACATTCTCAACAGTTCCGCTCAGTCTTCCAATTAAGCTTGCCAGGATGTTATAAAAATAATGTGCTCTCCTTGGTTCAACCTTAATTGTCATGCTTATTAAGCAGTAACAGTGATACAATAAAATTGAGATCAGAGTATAGAAGATGCTTCTTTGATACAGGCAGAATAATGCTAACATCAACACCATCTTTGGTAGCCTTTCAGTGAGGATTGCAATGTGTAGAAAAACATGCCAACATAAATCTTGCTGCCTCTACATAAATCCTTGGCATATCCTTGGAACAAAACCATGCTGCCTTATAATCCATGCAGCTTTTAAAACATGCAACATTTTATAAGCCACAATTGGTGGTTCCCTCATCTGAAATTCCAGCCTAACATCATCTACTGTATGAAAAGTCTCCTGCAAGTGACATGTACAATGCTCTGATAATTGTACTCACGGTTTTTTTTTTCCTTTTATCTTTCATATTCTGTTAAAGACGCTGAGCTTGTCAGCTGGAAAGGCCTGAGTTTGAGGCACTAGCACCGTGCAGTGGGGTGAGCTTCCATTACTTACCCCAGCTCCTGCAAACCTAGCAGTTCAAAAGGATACAAATGCAAGTGGATAAATAGGTACCACTTTGGTGGAAAGGTAACAGCATTTGGTGCACCTCGGCATATAGTCGATCCTGATCAGCTCAACCTTCCATCCTTCCAGGGTTGGTAAAATCAGGACCCAGAATGTTTGGGGCAATATGCTGACTCCGTAAACCGCTTAGAGAGAGCTGTAATGTGCAATGAAACAGCATATAAATCTATGTGCTATTGCAATTGCTATAGTCATGCTGGCTACATGACCACAGAAGCATCCTCCAACAATGCTGGCTCCCCTGGCTAGGAAACAGAGATGAGCACCAATCTCCAGAGTCGGACATGATTAGACAAGGGAAACCTTTTAACTTTTTATTGTAGCATTAACTAATCATTACTAAAGTATGAGTCAACTGTTTGACACTAATAATAGTAAAGAATTTGAATTTTTGTATTTTGTGCCTGCCGTTTAGTGGATGTCCAGACTTGTGCAATGGAGATCCATCCAGATGGAAAATCTTGAGATGGGATAAGAGGTAAAACTTACTCACTTCTAGAACAGACACAAAGTTACCTGGGCTGGATCAAGTGCTGGCATGAAGTGATGTCCTCTGGAAATATTTAGTGGGGCATCTCCATCCTGGGATAGGGAGGCTGTGTGGATGAAATTTAAGAGAGGGTAGCAGGACTATATGCATTGCCTTAAACAACCTCCCAGAACCCATCCAATGACTGCTCTTAGATTGAATTTATCAAAGTGGCCCAAAAGGAAAAAAAAATACTACATTTATGGAAATCAATAAGCCTCTTCATTCTGCTTCATCTACTTCTAGGAGCCTTGTTGTTCAAAGGTCAAGAGAAACCATTGGACCAGAAAGGGTTATCTGCAATAAGAAGTTAGTAACTACCTCAGATGATGGATGCTGGAGCTTAGTAAATAATGGCCAACTGTTGGTGGTCACTGCTTCCCATAACATCAGGTGCACCAGAAGAAGACCTTCCTTCAAAGTACCAAAGAAAGTCATCTGCCAATCTACCTAAATATCAAATGAGGAATGACAGCGTATCCATCCTACAGATAGCAAAATACAAATAATCCTCTGAAAGATCAGAATGTTTTTCATCTGATGCAATAAAACAGGGATTCTCTTCCCACAGAAACATCTGATCCATGTACATGGGCAATTGTAACAGGTTATTCTATATCATTTTCAGTGACTTGGTTCAGCATGTATATATATATATTGCTTTTCATTGCAAAGTATTCCTTTTTAAAATGTTCTTTAAACATATAGTGACCACCAAAACAATGAAACTAAAATCATAGTGATAATAATGATAATAATAGTAATAAAATAAGAAATTAAAACAAACTAAATAAGAGCCCACAAAATACATACTTTGGGAATAAATACATTTGTAATCATACAAATAAATTTAAGATATCAGAGTCTATCTTTCTATTCAAAATGATACATATTGATGAAGGTAATCCAGTTATATCAGTTCGTTGATATAACTAAAAAATACTGAGATCATACATGAGATATGAGAATATAAAGTAAGAATCTTTATTTAGAAGATTCAACAATAATCTCTGCTGCTGTTAACATTCACTGAAAAATAAATTCTCACACAGTTAAATACCATTGAGGCAAACAAAGATGTACTTTGGTTTTTCAGCACTTGTTATATTTAAACAGGCAAAATTAATTTCTTATATGTCTTGGGGAAAATTGATTCTAAAGCTACACTGGCATCAGTTATTTAAAAAAACCCTGTTGTTTAATCTTTCCAATTTCTCAGAACAAACAACAACATGGGCATTGTCATCAGAGATGCTAATATGTACCGATGTGATTATAATTCTTCTAACACAATCAAGGTAGACTTTAATTAATACAACGCAATCTTAAAAGAGCACAGTAGTATCAGTGAACTATTTTTAGAGTCAGTGTTTGTCAACTTGCCAAAGCCAATATTAAAAGAATGTTTTCCCATCATTATAAAATATTCTGGAATTGAGTTATATGAAAACTCTGCCAATAAACTAATGGGAAGATTTAAGCACGGAGAAGAATCTGAAGTTAGAAGCTTTTATTTAGATAATTATTTTTTAAATTTTTTTTTAAAGATTCATATCACTGACCATTTTAAACAATTTTGGGCAGCTCATAACAGTAATCAAACTAATTCCTAATAATAAAACAGTAAAAGCAATACGATGATAAAATATAAAACCTGTGCCATAAGTGTCCCATTGGGACGCCCCATAGCAGGATCAGTTGCTCTTCTTCGATATTATCTACCTCTTACAATCCTGTCCGAGCTGGGATTTTACAGTCTTCCACACAAAAAATAGAAGGCCGGAGGCTTTTTAAATCACTAGTGGGAGGATATTCCATGAGGTAGGAACAGCCACAGAAAAGGAACCCTTCCAAGATCCCACTAGAACTAGATGGCAAGATTTCAGGCAAGGGCCCTGGAGTATGTCCAACCTATCTGACCTGGTGGGATGGGCAGATATTCTTAGGAAGAGGTGCCAATAACTCTCCAGCCAATAATTAAGACATGGGCCAAAAATCGGTCCTGTGCAGTGGTGCGATTCAACCAGTGTAACAACCGGTTCGATGAGCGTGCGCTTTGCACACACACATTGTTTAAAAGAGCCTACTTTCAGCTCTAATACTTACCTTCTATGCAGCCCCTGTGAATAAAACAGCTGAGGTGCGGCAAACAACTCTGCCACGCGAATCAGCTGTGCTCTAAAACAACAAAATAAAGCACAGGAAAGATCAGGGGCAGGTGGGCGGGGCCAAATGTTCACCAGAACTACCGGTTTCCCCAAACCGGTCCAAACCGATAGAATTCCACCCCTGGTCCTGTGTCATGTAGAGCTTTAAAAGTAATAACCAGCTTCTTGAATTGCATTCAGAAGGAAACTTTGAGCCAGTGCAGCTTGTGCAATAAAGGTGTAATGCAGGTGAACTTATGGGCACCAATATTGGTGTGCTGCTGTATTCTAGACTTCTGAGTGGTCTTTAAGAGCAGTCTCGTGTAAAGCATAAATAATCCAATCAGAAATAAAAATGTTCATCTCTGAAAGATCTTTGCAAGACAATGGGTTTTTGCATTAAACCCGATTACATTATGAACAAATGGAATCATCTATTCCAGTGTTTTTCTTACACCTTCTAAGACTACATAATACTGAACAATATTTTTAATGAGGAATAAATATAGCCCGCTTTTTTAAAATGGTGAAGGGGTACAAAATATGTTTTAATAATATCTATATATTCCCTTATCTGCTTTACATTGATCATAAAACTAATAAATAAAAGATTTTTTTTAAACAATGTTAGTGTAAAATGTAGTTAAGTAAGTTTCTATAAGTCTATTTTATGATTTGATTTGATTGGAAAGTGTGGTTCAAGTCCATCCTCAATCATGCATATGGATGATCTGAGGCTACGCATAGTAAACAATGAAAGAAAGTCTACCACTTTTACTTCCTAAAGAAAAACTGGTACATAAATCTGATAGATAATAACAATAACCAACACGTGGGACCAGCCTGATCAGTGTGAGAAAGTCTTCTGTTTCACAAAGCATCCAGACAGATCTCAGAGAAAGCCACAAGCAGGACCTGAATACACACACCATCACTCATTTATAGCCCCCAATGATTGGTATTGATATGTCTCACCTAAGTTCTCGAAGATAATATTCTCTAGTAGCCAATACAGAGGGAGGGGTTTTTTTTTAAGCAAAGTGTAACCTCTGAAGTCTGCGTAGACTGTCAGTAACTTACTGATGCTATCACCGCTAGTTCATGGAAGGAACAAGATAGTAAAAAATAGAAGCATTAGAGCCCATCAGATGCTTATAGGCCTATTTTGCTTCTTTCAATGAAACCTTCCTTGCCCCTTGAAATATTATCACTCAGTTGTCCAGGGGAGATAAAGGGATAGATTAGGAGCAGGGAGAACCCAGTTCTAGTCTTCCATCAACCACAGAAACTCCCTGGCTGACTTTGTCCCGGTCTTTCTCTCTAGCCCAACCTAAGTCACAGATTGCTATAGAGAAAAACGACATCTATCCTGTTTCAGTGCCTAAGCAAAACATGGAATATAAATCTAACAAACGCATGAATTGATTTTTGCAACCTGACTCTGGATGTTCCAGGAACCACTAAAAAAAGAGATCTGGGATTACTTGTGACTAATGAAATCACCACTGCCATCCAAATATAGCTTGTAATCAAATGTTAGCAGTTTGCTCACATCCCCTCCTCTTTCTTTTGCTACTCTTCATCCATTGGGGCCTCCAAACACTGCTTTTCCCATTTCCTCCAAACTTGTTGCTCTTACAAGCCTGTCCTCAACCAAGCTTCTCTCACTACTGAACTCCTTTCTGGCAATTTTGCAGGTTTGCAACAAACTCATTATCACCTTTGGGACAAGAAATTCATTAGAGGCCTAACTTTTATGTGACCATCTCCCGGATATAAAGACTTGTTCTACAAGCTGCCTGTTAAGTGCTTTGTTCTTTTCTTTCTAGCAGTATCCCCCACACAATTCCACCCAGGCTCAATTGCTCACACTGCAGACAAGCAATTCATTATCTTGCTTAATTGCATTTATTGAACAATGCCAGTCAATTCTCCCTGCCTTCTCACAGTTTAATATCTGACTTATCACATAGTACAGCAAAGCTGCCGCTGCAATTTTACAAATGAGTGACACCATTAGCATTTTTCAAAATAGTAGCATAAATAAAAACAATTCACCAACACAACTCAAACAATAAGCCTCTCCTAAATGAATGCCACTTATCAAATTTATTTATAATTTATTTATAAATTAAATGTATACACCTCCCATCTCACTAAGTGTTTCTGGAAAGTTTACAAGTGAAAAAATCCAGAAAAATCCATACAAAGTAAACAAAAGTTAAAAAGATGGCAGGGCCATCTTCAACCAATCAACAATCCTCAGAGTTCCCTACTACTATTGGATCCCCAGGTTTTAATGCTTTTCCCAAAGGCCAGAGGGGCTTGCCTCACCTCAGGCAGCAAGTTATTCCATAGAGCTAATGCAATGGCAGAGAAAGCTGCAAGTTCTTCATGCAGCTTCTTCATTAATACAACTTCTTCAAGTTAACCATCAATCTGGATAGCAGAGGGGCCATCAAAAAAAAAAAAAAGCTACAGATGGATATAGTTTTGGCCTTGTAGGGCTTTAAAATGTACCAACATCATTTTATTTCCACTCATTGTTAATAGTACTGATTTGTAACCAATTAATTGACTTTATTGCAACAGCAGTTTGTTTTATCTTTTGTGCTGTTCTAGCTTTTCATTAATTGCATATATACTTAATTAATTTTATTAATTGCACATACATGGTTTTAATTGTGCTTGATGTTTATTACTGCACATTGCTTAGGAAAGCATCTCCCAGATAATTGCATTGGGACTGCAATTGCCAGCAAGGAATTCTTTAGCCAGGCTGCCTTAGTGTTTCAGGAATAACATGCCAAATCTATAGAGGGAGGGCAACAGATGGAGAAGCGTAGCTTAGAAAATTCTGCAAATACAACAAGCAACCGTACAAACACATTTAGGGAAGCTTGCACTACCATGAAATGCAACCTCAGCTCTTGCG